GCCCGGTCCAACTGATGGATGCACTGGCTCTCGCAGTTGCATTGCTGCATTGGTTCTAAGCTCGTCGGCTCTCCATAATTCATAAATGCCAATGCCAACTGTTAACTCAACTACTACTGGTATTGAGTTTTTGTCAATAGTCTGGGATTAGAGAAGCAGCCACCCCGCACCCGCATTCGCATCCGCATCCGCATCAGCCACCAGCAGCTTTGGAGCTCTGAAGCTTTCCTTGGAGCGGATCCATCTCCTCGCCCGTATTGTAGCCGGGTAAACAACGAATTTCACAGGTTAACGCGATCGCATAATGAGCCACGACGTCGTCCAAGTTGCAAACAAGCAAACAGCAGCGGGAGCACCGGATTCAACACTTTTTTACGCCCCATCCCCGCGATACGGTCTTGGACTCCACTCCACTCGCTGCACCGGACTAATGTTTGCCTAGCCGTTGCAGGCGGGCATCGGTTGGGTATATGTACCTATAGATATATATATGTATATATATTTTTTTACAGAGAACTGCCAGCGACTTCAATAGAATTAATTTACGCCTCACATTGTGGCTGCTGCAACCACTTGCAACCTCCAGTAGCCGTCATTCTCTGGGGGGGAGATTGCAGTTGGAGCAGAGAGGAGTTGGGAACTACGGAGGAAAATAGCACCTGAATTGGATATATCGGATATATAACACTGCAAACTATTCTTATATGTTTATAGAACACTTATATATATGTATCTCTTAAAGAAGTATTATTCTTGATTGAATGGGGGATCTCTAGAACTGATTAGTTTTTTATTAGAACAGTATTATTAGATAAGTTTGATAAAATGTTAGGATTTTTAGAGGTATTCATATTTAAAACGTTGTATTTATTTTTAATTATTTGATAAATAATATAAAGTTATTACGATATGATTAATCAAGTAACAGGTTTACAGGGGTATTTCTTTAATATCTATTATATTTAGAGTTATAAAACCAAGAGCCTTAGGCTTCTTAACTTTAAAGTTATAAATTCCAACTAATTTGTACTCTTCTCATTTATATTTTAATAATAAAGTATGCATTTTGAATCCCAGCTAAGTATCTTCTATAAAAAACTGCAGTAAACTTGTTTACAGATTCTCTAAATAATTGTAAATCATTTGAGTTTAGAACTTGTTGTGTAAACTATCTCTTTCTCGTTGAGCTTATTCTCTCTGTGTAACTACCGAAGCTATTTATAAAAGTTATCAATATGATTGTAAGCAGTTGGAAAATATTTGTGTCCCAAGGTGTTAGAATGCATTTGCATAAACACTTTAGGCGCTGTCATCTCATCGCTTTGAAAGCCACAAGCGCATCGAATTGAAGTGATGGAGCTAGCTACCAGCTTGGCATTCCTGCTCTGGAAATTCAATTACCTTTCATCTCCAGCTACCGTATGTGAAAAACAATGGGGAATTAGAGGAAAAACAAGGGAAAGCAGGGAAAACAGCAGGGTATACCTAAAATAGACAATGGCAAATCCCATTACGCGGCAGTAGCTCCACGCCTCAAAAGAGCAGGGATTGCGTACGAAGGCCAAAAGGAGATGTTACCTCTTCACGCGGGGCCATTGAATAAGTGCGGCGAAGGACCCCTGACATTGGCACCACTCCTCCTACTCATACTCCTACGGATCGGATCAGGATTCACGGATTCCCCGATTCCCCGCTTTTTTTTCGGCAGCACCAAAGACTTGGCCCAATTTGGCTTAAAATCACGCTACACCGATCAAAGGCAGCTGCCTCCGTGGCCCGACCATGATGACGAGATGTCTGGAGAAAGTGCAGTGACGTGTGGATCGGGATCGGGATCGGTCGGGTCCTCTGATGATAAGCTGCTGCCATTGATCTCATCTCTCTCTGTATATGTATCCAGCATACCTGTGATCCGTTTTACAAGCCAAGATCGCTCCAGATCGGCCTCTGGCTTGTCAATTGGGCGGACAGCGATATTGTTATGCTTATTACACCGGCACAGCTACCGAAAGTGGTTCAGTCGAGGTCTCTGGAACTCGGGAACTCTCTGCACTTCTGACGGCCGACCGACTGGGATTATCTCCTTATCAGGCCTAATCTCAAGTAGTTAATAAAGTGCGATGCTTTGTACTTTAACCGCCCCCATTGTTGTCCAGCTCGTTGTCCACGTTGTCCAGGTCGCATCCGTCGAGTGTGCGCCGAAGCAGATAATCGTTTGTGGTATGCCGATGAATGTGGATGCTCCGGGATGTCTTATATGGATCGATCTTTCTAGCTGGGAAAACTTTAACTGGACTGGAAATGAAGTTGGAAAGCCAAGAGCAAGAAAGGGAAATGCTCTTCAATCATAACTTATTCAAATAATGAGTACTCAAACATATTCTTATAATACTTTATGCACTACAAAACATCTAAGACTTATGTACGCACTTTTTTAATTTAAAGATTACAGAAATTCTTGTATTAAACATCATCATTATTGTAAACCCAAAGATAACCCCAAAAATCTATTGAAAACACAAATGTTTTCTTTCATCTTCAAAACATTTTTGCTAAACAAAAACTTCGTTTGTTATTTCTTCTCTTGTTTATGCAACATTTAGGAATCCCCCAGCTCTCTTCTGGCTAATTTATGGGACATCCTTACCAGATCCACAGATAACACCGGCTATATCAACACTCTGATCCAGCTGCGGAATAGATGCCACTCCAGGGGCTAGCTCCCCTCTGGATATCAGCAAAGTCTAAAGTCCAAATCCAAACAGATAATGTCAAACAGATGACAACATTCCGTCAATTGTCCCCAGTTATATTCAAAAGGATCGGGCATATAGTGTCAACAATGGCAAAACGATGTTATCCTTTAACCAAGCCTCTTGTGGCAAACCCAAATCCCATTTAAGCGAAAATTGTTTAAGTAAAAATAAACGAAGTTCGACCGCAAGATGTACGCATATGTCCCAGTCGCAGGACCCTCTCTTTGGAAAATCCTTTGAGCAAATCTTTGTGACAAACAAAAGTGCATATACAGAGCATCTTTAGGGAAATGAAAACAAACCCGAGAGGACAAATGCTTGGAAAATGCGATCTTCGGGGGCTGCGGCAAACTGTAAAAACAAATTGCGCTTTGTTTCAATTATACAAGGATTACATGTCGCACTGAAATATGGACCTCTCAAGAGGATCTCTCTCCGGATTCAGATTCAGATCCAGATCCAGACCCAGATCTCCATCCTCTCAAGTGGCCCGGCGGCGTCTGTACAATTTGCACTTGATTTTAAGTAGGTGATTTCTATTATGCGAGACATTAGCCGTCATACAAACGCCCTATTCAGGCCTGCGGGCCATGCGAGGGATCGATCCGGATGCCGGAGCACTTGATTAGCATATGAACACCCACCCACGCATGGACTCACTCTCGTTAAACCTCAAGTACCTAACGCCGGTGCCTCGACTTGGCAGTTCGACCAGGTAAGATCCGTGGGATGGGCAATAAAACCGCAGGTCCTGTTGCCTTTGTTCTGAATCCTCCTAGCTCTGGCCTCGTCAATGGCTCCGCGGCGGGGAAATTCGCTGGAAATACCTAGCCGGCGGCCAGTTGATGTGCCATAAAATTATGGCGGCTCATAAAATCCATTAATCGCTGCTAAATGCGCGTCATTAGTCAACACGCTTTCCGCCGCGGCCGCAGCTCTGACATCCTCGGGAGAGTCGGCTTTTCCTGGAACCACACTGGCCATCGACCGGCCACTGGGCACCACCACCAGGGCAACGTGTCAGGCTGGAGGACTAACGAGTTGAACTCCTAGAGACGGAGGAGGCGGCGGCGGCTTCTCGGCACAAGAAACGGCGACAGTGCGTCGCGTGAAAATGGTGATTAATGCCTTTACTGCGTGGATTTAATATGGAACACGATCTGGTTAATCAGCTGCTAGCCAGGTAGCCAGGCTACGGAATGGAAACTCGCGGTGGAAAGCCCCGCAGCAAGTGCGATTGATGAAAGGTGGCTTCGGGACACGAGATGGCCTAATGAACTGGGAAGGTGCGATGGATGCGATTTAATTTTAGAGAAGATAAAATTATGGGAGGATTTGTGGTCGTAAAAACACTTTCCTGAAATATTTACAAAAATGTAAATATTAAATTAAATCAGAAATTAACAATCGTAAAACATAAAGACTTCTAAATCAATGTTTAGAGCAGGAGTTTTGACAGAAAACGCCAGGTACTTTTAATAGTGCTTATAATACTCTTATCAATCAGAGAAAAATATTAAATAAATACTAATACTAACTTCTGGTCTTGAAACTAAAAGTTAAGTTAATTTCTCTATCCCATTAGTAAAGACATCATCCTAATAACAATATCAGTCAAAATTCCCTCTTGAGTATTCAACAAATTAGTATTAGTTTTCCATTTAATTTCATCTTATTAGTGGAGAATTTTCAGTATTTTCCTAGACAACCTGTTAATTTAATTTTAATAACTTAATAAATGCGAGAACTTTCCGAGAAAATGATTATAATGACCGGCAGATACATGGAGACAGAAATCTCTAAGCCCGGAGAGAGGAGACGTCATTCCGGTCTACGGGGCCACGGGGCTGCGTTTAAGACAATCTACAGAAAAGCAAACAAACAAAGCAGTAGGAAAAGAATCTGGTGGAATGGGATTGGGATTGGGAACGGGAATGGAAAGGGGAGCGGGGATTGGTGGCAACACCGACAACTCAAAAATGTGTCTACTTCATTCATAAGATTTTTTAGTGGCGCCTGGCGCCAACATTTTTCACTTGCGTGCAGCAATCGTCGCTTCGGATTGAGTGTGTTTTGTGGGTATTACACAGTAAACGAATAAAACGAAATAAATACATTTCGAAATACACTTTTTTTACAACCCTAAAAAAAATACCAAATTCCACATTGCATAAAAAAAAAATGAAAAACTTAGCAGGCTAGCAAACTTCTTGCCATTGTGACATTTTCATTGTCATTGTAAAATTTTCATCTTGACAGTGCGTTCAACTTTTTTCGGCAGTGCTCCGGTGAATTTTTATAAAACATTTTTCTCCTCAAATATATTATTATTTGCAATGGAAAGTGTCGCTGAACTAGAAAAGAACATGGAGTCGCTACCGCAAAGCCAGCAAATGGACAATCCAGTAAATGAAAGTGTTGGCATGCAAATGGCCCAGAAGTTGAATGAATCCTTCGATGGATCTCCATCTGAAAAGAAGGCACGATTCAATGAAAATGCCCAGAACGGTGGAGTGTCGGGTGGCGGTAACATTGGCAGCGGTGGAGACGATGGTGCCCCGAACTTTGCCAACAACAATGGTGGATTCGGTGGTATGAATCGAAATCGTAACCGCCGCGCCATTAAAAACCGTCCGTATTTCCAAGGCCAGAATAAGGCTGCAAACCAAGAGCCCGTTACCGATTTGACCAATTCGGATGCAGAAAATTCTCCAGCCAACCAGAATCAGAATGGAAATCAAGGACCAGATCAAGGTGGCCGTGATAATCAAGTCGAACAGCAACAAGGAGAGGGTCAAGGCGGCGGCCAGGGATTCCGAGGTCGCCGTGGCGGTGGAGGACCAGGAGGACATCGTGGCGGTCAACGATCGGGCGGTCCCTTTGGTGCGGCCATGGGTGGCGGTCCTGCTGGTGGACGCGGTTTCGAAGATTTCCTAATTGCCCAGAAATTGCGCAGCATTGGTGAAACCACCTTGGAGCTGCCAACCATCGAAATGCCGGCTGAGACAAAGTTCTCTGGCCGCAATCGTCTTTATGTGGGCAATCTACCTTCAGACGTTACCAACGATGAGCTGCGCGAGATGTTCAAGCCGTACGGTGAGATTGACGAGATCTCGAATCTGGACAGGAACTATGCATTCCTGAAGGTGGATTACCATGCGAATGCCGAGAAGGCCATGCGCGCTCTCGATGGCTCGTTGCGAAAGGGTCGTCAGCTGCGTGTCCGTTTCGCCCCCAATGCGACCATATTGCGTGTGAGTAATCTCACCCAGTACGTAACAAACGAGCTGCTGTACAAGTCCTTTGAGGTCTTCGGCTCCATCGAGCGGGCCATCATCATCTTGGACGATCGTGGCCGCCACACCGGCGAGGGCATCGTTGAGTTCACCAAGAAGTCGTCCGCTTTCGCCTGCCTGCGAGTGTGCCATGAGAAGTGCTTCTTCCTGACGGCTTCACTTCGTCCATGCCTGGTCGAGCCAATGGAGGTGAACGACGACAATGTCGGGTTGCCCGAGAAGACGATGAACACGAAGATGCCGGAGTTTCTCCAGGAGCGTTCAGTTGCTCCTCGCTTTGCTGATCGCAAGTCGTTCGAGCACGAGTACGGATCGCAGTGGAAGCAACTGCATGCTATGTTCAAGATAAAGCAGGAGGCACTGAAGAAGGAGTTTCAACTGGAGGAGGAGAAGCTGGAGGCTCAGATGGAGTATGCACGCTATGAGCACGAAACGGAACTGTTGCGTCAAGTGTTGCGGGATCGCGAAATTCACAACGAGCGCAACAAGCTGCTATGGGAGATGCGCCAGAAGCAGGTTGAGGATATGCGCATGCGCACCGAGGACAACATCCGTCGCCATCAAGGCGAGATGGAGAACCAAATGGTCCGTCACGGTCAGGAGAAGGATATGCGCCTTCGGCAGCAGGTCTTCGGCGGCGTTGGAAACAACTCAAGCTTTGACAACTTTGCTGGAGTCTTCAATTCACCATTCGATGTGTTCGGAGGCAATACCAACAATAATTCTACCATTGTTGAAAATTCCGCTTTGGGCGGTGGACCCAATCCACTGAACTCCTTCGTTTCTGAATTTGGGGTTAACAATATGAACCAAGGAGGAAATCAACGCGGAAATAATGTCGGAGAACCTCATGCCCTATGGGGACGTCGCGACGTTGATTTTATACACACTCTGGAGACCATAAATGTGCAAAACATTTAAGGATGACAAACAAATGCATAACGTATTCTACTCACAGGCAACGATTGCGAATGATTCAAACGAATTATTACCACAAGAAAAACAGAGAGGACCACGTATCGTATCGTAAAATCCTATGCAATGCTGCAAATACAGAAAACCAATAATTATACAATGAATTTATCAACAATCATCTCAACAATCAAGCAATCCCTCTCAAGAAAAAAAAGGACACATAAAAATGCAATGAATGCCGAGAACAAAACTTAACAAACAATTCTTCCCATCATGAAAAACAAGAAACAACATTTACATTTAATTAATTATATCGATACTTTCTTAAATAAATGGTTGAGTTTATCTTGCTTCAATAATATGTTATAAACATTTTTTTTCTTGTCTATCATGCGAATGAAATTTATAATGATAATAAAACTCCTGGATAAAAACGAAGCTGTGAAAATGGTGAGTAACAAACTTCCTACAATATTTAATAATCAATTCTGGTATGATATGGGATCCAAAGAGCATACTTTATAAAGTTAAATACATTTTGGTATCATATAGAAGTTCCTCTATTATACAAATCATTTGAAGTCATTAAAAACCATTTTTAACCATTAAAACTAATGTATAAGGAAATCTTGCAAAACTTTTTTTTCTGGCAAGCAAATATTAAAATATATGTATGCAAAATTTGGTCAAATAACAACATTCCACTACTAAGCAAAATAATAACACTGAGAATATTAAATAAATTTAATAAATGCTGTAAATTACAGGATGGAATAGGAATTTTATCATAACTAATTTTAAAATAATACCATTTTATTTAATATTTTAATATGAGACAATATCTAAGCCTTAAAAAATCATAAATAAGCAAAAGAAAACATTAATTTAAATTTTGAAAGCAACCCATGTTACTTATTATTAGGTTAACAAATATGCATACTCAATTTCATATTGAAAACAAATTTAAAATTTTCCAATTTTTGACAATTTTAACGATGTAACCCCTTATAAAAAGTTTGAAATTCTGAAATTTTATTTTTGTTCTGCATCTGACTAGATTTACTCGGCTGTTCATGCTTTTCAAAAATATATATGATTTATAGGTTCGGAAATGACTCCTTCTTAAGTTACAAACTTTTGACTGAAATTATAATACCTTATATACCTTATATATACCCTATAAATATATTCAAGGCACTCCTAATTGCTTTATTGATTTTTTCCTTTTCTATTTAATTTATTTACTTAATTCACTAATTTTTCCCAGTGCATTTGATTCATAAATACACTTATTTGTGCGGCTACAGCTCGAAGCACTTGACTTGCAGTGCCAACATTTTCATTAAGTGAAATGCCCGCACTCCGCACCCCAGCCCAAAGATTATGATTGTTCCGTTCGAGTGCATCTGCTCGATTTAGCGTATCGCTCATAATTTGTTTTTATGCTTTTGCATTTGGTTTTGGTTTTTGGGGCACGCGGCTGATAACTCTCCCATGACGGTGCACACCAGCCTCCAGCTGCCACCGATTTTCGCTTATCGGAAAAGGGAAAGTGATTGCTTTTTCCGGCTGGCGCAGCTGTGGATTTCCCGGACGCGTGTCGAGGAGTACCCAAGAGACAAGCTCTCACACCCGCCCATTGTGGAGCTGACACAGTGGAGATTATTGGATTGGTGGGGCATACAGAGCAGAGCACACGATCAGGGAAACGTTTCCACTGCGGCGGGCATGTTAATTTTAGTACAAATTCGGTTCGAAAATAGCCATGGGCAAAATGCCCACGCAAATATTTTCGCCACATTGCGGCAAGTCATCGTCGCTATTAACAGATCCGGAGTAAGCATGAGTCGGACTTTGTGGGTCCCGTGGACCGTATGGATACGCATTTATGGGTCGCCGCGTCGCGTCGCCAAAGCCCTCGTCTCGTATTGACAATTTCAATTTAAGATCATCATCAGAGCCGCGTCCAGTCAGTCAGTCAGCCCGTCTGCGGCTGCTGTTAAATATTTTGTTATTTTCATATGTAAATCTTGTTTAACGACTCTGTATGAATTCGTGTGTAGTATGGGTATATTTATTGTGCCGTTGATTGAATATGCAAATGCATTTTCACACGTCGAGCCACAGTTGCCCCGACGAGGCCCGCTCCGCTCCAACGCCGTTCAGTCGGGGGACAAAGGCGTGGACAAACAACAACAAACCCGGACGGGGACTGGGTCTTCCTCGGTATCCTCTCTGGCACTCTGGCAGGGATCACTGATCGTTGGGTTGATCCCCCTGAAGACCAGGGGTTTACCTACAGCAGATCCGCGGACCTTGGCGAGGTGATAATCGCACTCGCTCACACACAAACACCTCTTCTTCAAAATGTCCGATATAAAAATTAATATTCCCTAATAAATCTGTCAAAAGTTATGCTTAGCAACCCAACAGAAAAAAAACAAAGCAAAGGTAAATGAATATAAAGAAACAAAAATTAATAAAAACAAAAAGATATAAAGAGAGAGATGGGTTTTTGGAAAGAGAGCGAAGTTGGGATGCTCTAATGCATATTGATTGGGAAATTAATGCTTTATGGTTAAAGATTTAAGGAAGTTTTATTTAATTATAATTTTTATTTATTATATTTTAATAATATTACTCTGCTTTTTAAAGAAACACATATTGAATATATGCATATTCCTAGAAACAAGTAATTCAACTTTCAAACCATTATTAATTTTGTAATGATTGTCTTTAGAAAGAACGTTTTAAAAAACATAAGAAATAATAAGAAATAAGGAAATCATTAATGCACTATATTTAATAATATATATATATACTTATATCTACTAAAGAATCTTTAGAGATAATACGTCTTATTATTATTTATATATACAAACTCCTTTCAATATTCATTTATTCATTTATACATCTATATTATAGGTATTATATGTTATACATCGTGTTGAATTTTATCTCCTTTGTAAATATTTTCTTTGAAATTCCAAAACAAACCTAGCGCAAACTGTATAAAAACGTTTTATAGAAAACTCTTAATGGAAGGGTATCAAGTGCGGGTCTATACTGCGTTCTGGAAATACTCAGCATTGAAGGAGGGCGCGGCAGCCAGTCAACGGAGTAGCAGAGAGGTGCCTTTTTTCTGCTTTTCTGGCTGCCTTTTCCCAGACATTTACCTGTCAAATGTTGCACTCGCTCACGAAAATGATGGAGTGAAGAGTTTTAATTTTATGACGCAGCAAAGGAGAGGCAGGCGGCGGGATCGAGTGAGTGCTGGTGGCGCCAAGAAATTAAGGTAACGCGCCGCAATCAACACAAGCCCAACCAGCCAGGATTCTGGTAGCCAGGTCCCAGATCCTTTCGCTGAGTTGCCAGTTACATATGTAGTTCTACCGGAGAGTAGAAGTCACTGTGGGCGTGGGCCTTCGATGAGTGGCTTTCTCAGGCATCTTCTACAGACTTGACCGGGGCCATTAGTTATGCAGCTCGTTGGCTTATCTACAACAGCATCGATCTTGTTAGCCGCTATTAATTGGCTGTGAAAGGTTCGATTCATTCAATAAAAGTCCCCATAATGTAAATGGCTCAACACTTTCCCACCGAACGCCGAAACAGGCCAAGTCCATTGACATCCGATGCTGCGCATGCGTATCCCCTGGTCTATTAACCACGATACACCAGATACCAAGATACCAAGATACACGATCGCATCTACCAGATACAGCCATCCCGGGACGGTAAATTGCCGCAACCGCAACGCATAAAAAAAAAACACAGATACAGATACAGATACATATTGGATCCAATGGCTAAAGAGTGGATCGGTACGGATCGGATACATAGTTAATTATGCTCCCAAAATGAAACAAAAAAACAAACTAAACATTTTTACGAGCGAAATTTGTAATCATTACCACATTCATATGCAAATGGGGGCAGCCGTCCACTACGTATCTGTATCTGTATATCTGTGATTGCGCCTGTAGGTGTACACTGAAAGATATATTTGTATTTTGATTTCAGTTTTACCTCTATTATATTACATCAATGGTTAGTCTTGTTTAGTATTATGAAAACAGATTAGATTGTGAGGATCTTATTGTAAGTTTGATATGAACACAATCTGTAAATTAACTGTAAAGATCATAAGTTTAACTATATGTTATAAATTATATTTTAACTAGAGAATTATATTTTCTATTCACATTCCAAATATAAACATAATTGGTTAATTATTTCGGACGCTACAGAGATTTTAGTAACTCCCCAACCTCAAAATATGGTTGCTCTAATAAGTATTCAACATTTCAAGGCTTATGTATTTTATACAGCTTTAATTCTTTGTAATTTTTATTTACAAAATGATTTGTTATTAATATGAAATAAAATACTTAAAAGTATTCTTTGAATTCGTGCTTCTTTTTTAAATAAGCCGTCCTCAAATATTCTTAAATAATTATATAAAATCAATAAATATACCATATATAACCCCTTATTTTTTCCAGTAACTCTTTTGGGTTTTTTACTATATACATTTTTTTTGTGGTCGGGACTGTTTGGGCCAGCTGCTCGAACGGCAGCTACGCGTCTGTCGCTTCTGTGCTGTCTTGGCCTTTGTTTAGGATTGTGGGGCCCTGATTTTGGTGTTAAAAGTACCGTATTGTTTGCCATATATAGCAACAACATGCTGTCCACGCGGTGATAACGAAGTCGACTGGAGTCGCCTCTACACGCAGCCTCTAATTTATTAAAGACATTTTCTTGTTGTCTCGATCTCTGGCTGCCAAGACAAACATAAATTTTGGATGCGACAAGTTTTAATTTCTTCGCCCCGGTTACCGCTCTAGCCCTCTGTTTTGTTGGATTTTTGGTTTTCGGTTTCAATTCTTCTCCCTCCTCAAAAATTAGCCTCAGTTCGGTAGCTGGCGAGGTTGTGAAAAAGCTTAAATTTTAATCAAAATTAGATCTTTATCTTCCGCAATTTATTTGCCTTTTAACAAATATTTTTCATGCTTTTGCCCGCTCGCTCTCTTTCTGCTTTGGCTCTAATCTCGTTTGCTTATTTTGTCTGTTTTGTATTTTTTGTGGCTGTAAATATTTAAGCTTTTGACGCCTCACATGGGGAGGGATTAACGGAGGAGCCATAGAAACCCGTACCATGAAGAGGGCTTCTGCTCTCCTGGAGCTCCATTGCAGAGGTAGCATAAATTTTTCTCGCTTTGCCGCCATTGAGTAATGGCCGTGTTTTTGTTTAACTTTGCGCCATATTTGTTTGCCGCTTCCCGTTGTATGCGTGTTGTTTTCAACGTTCATGTTAACCCCCTTTCTCGGAAAGGGGAAGTTGGGCTAAGATATGTAACG